GAATTTTTGGAACACTCAGAATTATTGGCTCGGATAACAAATCGAGCCAAGCCATGGAGTAGAGAGTGTCAACATTTGGACTGACCACGTCAGTAAAACCGTCAGTAGGAAATTCTCGCATGTGATAAAATTGGTTGATAGGAGTTTGTTTAATCATAGTCTGCTTTGTGATGTTCATCAGCACTAATGGATAGCCAAAAATGTAAGCACATTTCGCAATTTCCTCGGCTTCATGTGAAGTTATATCCTCGGCTTCATGTGAACTTATACTTATACTCCTTTTCAACGTATCCATTTCGGGGATCCTGAATTTACGTTGTGTATGCTTCTGGGTTATTAAAAGTAATTACCAGCCCTTTGACTCCACAGAATGTAGCGTATGTTAAATATCTATTCAATATTTACTAGGAAAACTGGCACTGTTAGACGAACAAAGCATCGCCCAAAAATCGGTATTTAAATATAAAAATTCTGCTAATTCTTTTTTGTATGACAGATTTACAAATCGATACAACAAATTATCGATCAGAGGATATGTCAGAATCTGTATTGCTATGTATATGACAAATATTACTCTTTACGGTTTACCATTACGATTACCATTATTATTTAGGCCAGACCAATTAGATTCTCTGTTTTACATTACCCCCCCTCCCTCCGGAGGGGAGGGGGGGGGGTAAGAATCAACTTGGTCTGGCCTTATAATGTTTGTATCGCGGCAGCTTTCAATTTACACAAAAAATGAGGAAAAAATATTATTGCTAACGAATATCAATATAGTAATCAAATTTCATATTTACAGCTGATTATAAAAATGTGTGAACGACGATTTTCATATACCTATGTGGGGAATCAGAAAATCAGATTCTGAAAATCTGGGAATTTCGTAAATTTCCTGATCTGCATCTGTTCACACCTTTTTGAAATCAGCTATAAACTCGCGCCATGAGATCTCCCTTGCAGGAAAAATTTCCAAAAAGAAAATTTTTTCTCGCTAATTCTACAAGATTTTATTTGCATTGGAATAATAATATGCAATTATTCTATGCATACTGCT